GTGTGTGTGTGTGTGTGTGTGTGTGTGTGTGTGTGTGTGTGTGTGTGTGTGTGTGTGTGTGTGTGTGTGTGTTAGAGAGGGGAGGACTGTGGAAGTGAGTGTGTGACTTTTATGGGCCTATAAATGTCTTGTAAACTGTAAAATATAAAACCTTATTGTCCATTAAAATAATTAAGGTGATATTGTTATTTAACAATTTGTCAATAGCTATATGAAAACCCAGGTTGACTTGCACATGAAGGTTTTTCTGATAGTAAGAGAGTTAGCGAGCCCGTTTTTGCAAATACTACTCCAAGCTAGTTTTGCCTAAAATAGTCAGTATAGTCACGCTATGCTCTAAAAGCATGCCATGCCATTTAAAACACATTATTGGACCCTTACTCCAGAGTGCAGACTCATAGCTTTATTATTATTATTATTATTATTATTATTATTAGTAGTAGTAGTAGTAGTAGTAGAGATACATTAATATATTTTATCTTGGGATAAACAAAACAATTATCTGGGTTTCATTAAAATATCTACTTTTTGTAAAATGAGAGATTTTAGCTAATCTAAAGTTAATTTAATGATGTATGAATCCTAAGTGCTTTAATTTTTTTTAAATGAAAAATAGCATTGTGAGAGCATGACTATCAAACTATTAAATGTTTAAAAAATATCCTTACTCAGCTGTTTAAAAAAACAGAAAAAATGAGCATGAGTGTGGCTGTGGTTGTTTTTCAGCCTGTCTCCTCTCGTACTGAGATTTAGGCTCATCTTTATTGGGTATACTTTCCTGTATTTATAGCAGCTCACTGTCCTTCCAAATTGAAAAGGACAGAAACCTCAAATGTGGCCACATTTTCAATTATGTCACATTATGTTAAATTACGGGTTTGTCATAAATTACAGGAGGAGTATGTGAAAAAAGGTGTAGATGTGTTTCTTTTTCTAATGAGCCAAAAACTGTGGGCTCATAAAATTTGCTCCACAAAATGTTTTCTTTGAATCTTATGCCAGCCTTTGAACTCCTCACAACACACACAGAAAGACATGCTTAAAACCAGAGGAAAGTAAATATACATGGTGTTTGGTGTGAGTAAAAACCTATGCAACTCTCGTCTCTTTTCCTGCAGAAAATCCATCAGCTAGCTGGATCCATGCCAAATCGACCCGGAAAAAGAGATGTCCTTACACCAAACACCAGACCCTGGAGCTGGAGAAGGAATTCCTCTACAACATGTATCTGACCAGAGATCGGCGCCTGGAGGTGGCAGGACTCTTAAATCTGACAGAGAGACAGGTCAAAATCTGGTTCCAAAACAGACGGATGAAGATGAAGAAGTTGATGATTCGGGAGAGGAGGAGTATGAATGAATGATGAATTTAGAGGCTGGGGCTTTTGTTTTCTTCCTGTGATAGGTGAAGAGGTGGTGGTGATAAAAGAAACACAGTGCTCAGAGATGGCCAACATCTCTAACATGAACTGGCAAGATCCGCTGTGACTAAGCAAAGGATTGTAGAGCTAACATTGCTGCTTTTGAAAACTGCAGTGATAAACTCTGCAGGGGAGACCGGGATGTGCTGTAACACACACATTAATGTCTTAAAAAAAAAGTTAGGTAATCTGTACTTTGGCGCATAATTCTTCCATCTGCATGTTTTAAAAAGAAAACAGCTCATCTGAAACCCGGGGTAGTTGTAAATAATGATGTGTTAACATTTACAGGGAGGTCAATAAACCTGATCACAAACATACCAGCTCATATCAAAGACTACTCATTTTAAAACACATCTGTTTTTAATATGGATGCACATCTCTCATGTTCAGAAATGGCAATGCTTGAAACATTCCAGACGTAATACTTAAACTGTCTGTGCTCTCAACAAAAAAAATGGGAATGGTGTTTTATGATTTAAGGCTAAAACTATCGTCCTCATGAAAACTATGTTTAATGTGCAAGCTCGGACTGAAGTACAAGGGAAAACTATCAAAGATAAACCGCATGAGTAATCTCATGGCTGAATACCTGCTTGTTATAGCCTGAAAAATAGCTGCAGAATATTTGTATGGGATTAAAATGAAATATTTTTGGGAGCAAACAGGATTCAGGCTAGTGGACTGTATCTGATGCATGTAAGTATTAACATATTTACGTGAAAGATGTTAATACTGTTGGGTTGGCATTACCAAAAGATAAAAGACACATTCGCTAAGGCTGGAGTTGTTCTCTTTATGCTCTTATAACAATGCGATTACCCTTAGAAAACAAACCAAAACCAAATGTATCTTCGAAAACACCAAGATTACACATGTGAAAAATCTAAAAATCGCAAGTACTTAAAAGGTGAATTGATCATGCTAAAGTAATAATGTGTTTTAAATGTGATACTTTCACTTCTGTCCCACTTCAGTGGCTTTTTCAGACCAGGGTCAGCTGTACTTTGTCTAACTGGCTAATAAGTGACTAAAGATGAATATTTTCTGTCTAACACATTATCTGTGACTTGAGGCTTTGGTTTATTGGCTGTAAATAAAATGAGTCTACTGCATTTTAAATAGGACCACCTCTTGTTTGGGTTTAAAAGGCGCTCTTGTCTTTTCCTGGTCCTCCATTGAAGTTTCTGCACAAATGCGTGGGTCATAATAGTTAAAAATACTGATGTAGGTTTTGTATAATCACAACCTTTTACATGTCATGCACTTGTAACCACAGTGCATTTGCTAAATTTACAAGATTTTATATATTTACAATAAGCAACATAAAAAAGGAAGCAAAACACCACTTCTTCTTCTTGCTGTATTTCAGGTGCCTGACAGGTCTGTACAGAAACTTGTTTCACTTTGCTCCTAGTGGAGAAGTTCTCTGTGTTACAACCAATCCTGGTCTCCCTTATTAATCAGAAAGGAGCTTTTAAGGAATTTGCTCCAGAAGACAGAATAAAGCTTCTTTGTTTTGTTTTTATAAACTCTGCATGTAGCCTTATAGGGGCATATTTGTTGGTATTGTTGTCCTTGTTGTTGTTGTCATTGTTGCTGTGTATATTTGTTGTTACTGTGGGTTTGAAATGCAGATATGGTCATGCCTACACACACACACACACACACACACACACACACACACACACACACACACACACACACAGACACACCAGTCATGGCTAAGCTATGGTGTGACTGCAGTTTGATTGTTAGATTTTCTGTTTCGCTGTTTCCTCCCAGTAACCAGCTACTGTCCTCTTAAGACGTTTTACAACAACGCACAATCGATTTCCATTTTCCAATGTAAGTTGGTATAACATCCGCAGCAACGGGAACATTGTGAGGATTTTAAAGGTATTTTGGTGCTTTTCGTTTTTGTCCACATTCTCCTTGAGAGAAGAGGAAGAACAACAGGCTATGTTAGCCTACAGCGACAGGCCTGTGCTGTACTGTGAGACGAAGTGTGATCAAATAAGGCCTTCATCCTGTCATTTTGGTTATAAGTTCAATATGCTGCTCATGGTGATTTTTCTAAATAAAATAAAAGACGGATTACAGCGTCGGTGTTCATTTGCGCCTTCTTTTTGGCGACTTGGTAATTTTACGCACGGATTAGTCCGCACAAATCAGGTTTTTTTTCTTTTTGTTTGTTTTTAACTTGATATTAAAGGCATATTAATAATATTTATAGCATCACATGGCAACATTGTAGACATAAAATAGAACTACTGCAAAAATATTTTGTAGCCCCTGATCAATGTAGCCTAAAACTCATAAAGGTTAAAATTGCGCTGTCGTTTATTAAATAGCGCAATACAACCCAATAAAAAGGCTTACATACAGCATTATCCTATAATATTATCCTGCGGCTGATTCTACAGGGGGGGGGGAAACAAAGGCAGTAATTCATGGTTGACATTAAACAGGATTATAGGCCAATAACTCGATTTATTATGTTTGTCATTATGATTATATTCCACCGTCAAGGTGTTTCACTGCTCTCAGGTATGTGTTCGGAGTTTCAGCCCACGGAGAGACATTTCTGCCTCCTTGTTTTGTCAAAGTCAGTGCAGCGCCTCGTAGCTTCCTTCATTTATTGCGGCTATATAATCTTCTCAGGGCTCATCCTACTGCAGGGTCATAAACCAACAGCATGCATTTGGAGAATAAACGTGACTTTCCGCCCCAACTCAAGACAGAGAGACACGCAGAGAGAGGTGCCATAAAGTAATTTCGCCCAGACAGTCATCGTGACTATATGGTTTTATTGGACACCCTTTCCTGCCTTAGAGCCTCAACTGTCCTTCTAAATGTTAAAGTCATTGTCTGCAGATGAGACTAGACAGCTCCAGTCACGTCTTTTACAGACAGCGAGAGCACAAAACACGGGAAATTTCATTATGGAGGGAATTAAAACGGATTTGCCAAAAAGCATGTGAGTCTTGATGAGGTTTATTTTTCCTGTTTCAGAAGTAATCGTTTAATTTAGGCTAGGTTATCTACAACCTCGGTGTAGCGGTACTGGTAAAAACAGGAAGCTTTAACATCAGCAGTAGTTTAATTTTTTTCAGCTAGAGCAGAACCTTCTTCTTATTTTTAAAGTTAAAAAATGGCCGTCTGAGTTGCAAACACCATTCAGGCCTTTTGTGCTGACTGGGCACAGGTATTGGTTTCTATGGACTAGTATTAAAATAATTTGGTCCTGTATTGGAGCACAGACGAGTGACAAAAGAACGAATATATGCATCCATTTTAATAGCTGATGGACAAGAATAAAAAGTATTATAACCATTTAAATCTCAAAACTTCACTCAGAGCACACGGACAAATGCATTAGAATTATTGTAGCCGAAAATAGCACTGAATGTAGATAACATATATAAAAAAAAGATAATAATAATACTAATAACCTGAAAACATTTTTAAGTAAATGCCTCCAAAGTTCTGATTTAATGTGCACTTTTAATAAAACTATCACAAACGAAACTCTTCCATCTGCATTTACATGTAATTAGCCTCCAAAAGAATAATATTTAAAGTGCTGCAGAAATTTGGATGTATTAGGATGATAGGATTTCACGTAGAAACGTTAAAACCATTACAACTGTCTAAGTGCTGCATGCTCCCCATCACATTTCTTCAGTATGGTAAAAATAGATTCATAATGATCCATTAACAGAGTCCAGGGCCTCACCAGCTGAGCTGCATGCAAACAATTGATGTAGAAAAGTGATGTGCACTTGCATTTATTATGTTATGAAGAAAAAATATAGACGGTAAAGCACGTAAGCCTACTGCGGCCTGACATGAATATTCTGTTTTATACTAACATAGATAAATTTAAAAAATAAGTTTTATTAATCAAGGTGGTCTCGATAAGTTAAAGTAACATTTTTGAATTAGGTAACTTCAAGACACGAGCTGATTTAAATTCCTCATAAACACAAAAAAATCAAAAAACGGGGCTGCTTTTTCATGTGTAATTACTCATTATGTCCACTGGGCGGAGGTGTTGTCTTTCATGAGCTATTTGCACTCGAGCAGTAATTCTATGGTGTGATATTTATTACTGTGGACCTGAGTCCAATCTCAGATTCTGACGTCAGCTTTCTTCACAGGCAAAATCTCATTCAGATGCTTGCCCCACAACATTTTACTACATTAACGTGTAGTTTCCCTGACATGAGTTAAGTCTTAGACAAAGAACCTTTTTTTCAGAGGACATCGTCACTGAAATTTCCTTTTAGTCTGAGACAACTTAATCCATGTCTGGGAAACTAGCTGTAAACGTCCAACCTGTAGTATTCAACTGGTGACATGTTAAAAGCTGTAACTGTTCAGGCAATAACCTTTTCTCGACCTGTGAAAGAATTTATAATTCTAATAATAGTAGTAATGGAACATTTCATTTGGGAGGAAGACAATGAAGGAAAAAAGCAGCTCAGTAATATTCAAACAGCTACTCCGTGATCCGAGTTTCTAATCAATTTCATCCACCCTATTAAATAAATTAATCCTCTTCTAATCCTGTTATGTTTCTTATTTAATAGTCAAAGGGGATAGTAACGCTACTTCCGCTCTGTTTCCTCTTCAAAATAAAAGGTGAAGCAATAATTGAAGCCTCTGAAGTCATTTCGACCTGCAGTTTATGATCACAGCCTTAAAGTCCATAGAATAAAAAAAGGGTTATTTTTACTGAAACGTGCGCCAAGTGATCTGACGCTATTTATTTTAAAGCAGGAGAAAGAAAATGAGAGGGAAAACAAAATGCCTACAAAATACACATTCAGAAAAGAAATATTGACATTACTGCTTAACAACAGGCAGTGTTCAGCTTTGTCCATCTTATGTCTAAAACCATTACAACCACTTTTAGACATAAAATTTGAAATAAAGACGCATGTACAGAATTCTGAATCAAGAGATGAATGTGTGAGGGTTAAGATAAAAAAAGGAGAAATTGTGGAATCTAAAATCAGAATTTATTAAGTTTATTAGTGTGTGTGTGTG